ATAAGCTAGACCCTAGTCTGTAACTATCCTCTGAAATCATAGCACTTCTTTCCCTGTTATTTTTTTCTTAAATTGTGATTCTTTCTAAAGAGAAAGTACAAAACAATGGAACTCCAAGGCCAAATGGCCCTTCCTGATGCTAGAAGACTCTTACATGTGGCTGTACAAGCCAGGTCTGACAACCACCAGTAGCAGGCTCATTAATGTAACCCAAACTCAGATCAAATTCTCTTTGGTATGCACTCCCAGAGTGGGGACACATGGAGAGCCATTGCTGCCTGTTACACAGGAAACATCTCCACATTCTCCTGGATTCAAGGGCTCAAATGATGCCAGCAACCCTTTCTCTTCAGCCTGGATTTTCCTATCAGCAATGGATCACTTTCAGTGAAAGTTCTCCTTATGGTAACTTCCAGCAGTTTCAGACTTACACCATCTTTACAGTTTACAACTCCCATGGATGTGGGGAGTTTTCCCCCCAAAAAGGCAAAACCTCAATTTTATATTGTATTTGACTGGCTTTGATTTCACTTTTCTCAATAATCTCCATGATCCAGAAAAATTAAAAAACAAACAAAAAGACCCAAACAACAAAATGTTTCTGCCTACCTGAGACACTCACCATTCTAAGAGCTACTTGTACAAACTCAAAGGAGGTGTGATGTAACACACTGCCTAGTTCACCAGATGTCTGGATACCTGATGGTGCAGTGTGTTACAAGTTGGGCTGTTAACTGAAATATTGGGGGTTTTCCATCTCATTATCAATCTATGTTGCTATTATTAACGTGCTGTCGAGCCTGAATTGACTCACAGATGACTCGCCAGTGAATTTTCAGAGGCTGTAAATCATTTGAGAGGAGAGTGCCCATCTTTCTCCTGCTTTATCAATCTATGGGTGAAATATTTCTATTCCTTTAATGATGCCTTACATGTCATCGTTCTTAGTGCCTCATGATCTTTCTAACTTTTTGCTGAATATGTTCTATTTATTCCTTTTAAAACACATGAAAAAAGGTCAAAGCATACTATAATAGAATTGTAAGCATAAAGAAAGACACTGGTATTCCACCATAATCTGTCATACTACAAAACAGAACAAGATAATGATATTACAGCTACATTATCAATGCTAGAAGGAGTGTAAGATCCTGGATAACAGAATGTAAGATTCTTGGCCTGACTTCTTTTTCACACAAAACACTGTAATGTGTGGTGGGAGGGGGTAAACCTGGAGCCAGGGTCCTGTACTGAGTGTGTCAGTGACTGGCTGTGTCCCTGGGAGTAAGTTACCAAGCCTATCTATGTCTTACCTTGTTCTCTTCCTAATGCATTCCTATAAGCATTATCTCATAGAATTGTTGCAAAACGCAAATGTGTTTGTGCTTGTAGAACACTGAGAATGTTGCCTTTCATGTTTTGGGAGCTTAGATACTAGCACCATCCATGTCACAATCTTTCTATCCTCTGACGCTTATGGCATCCATTGCATAGCATTCCATTTGTGTAATGGGACTAGTCCATCCTACAGTCATCATATAAGTTATATCATTTCAGAAGTGAAAGGACCAGTCTGTGACATTCATTCCAGACTACCAGCTTTTAGAGTCATCACTAGATTTTTAATTAAAAAATCTTAATTGGAAAGAAATGTTTCCAACAACAGACGTCCACCAGGAAAAACTTACATAAGCAAATACATAAAGCATATACATTAAATGTTGACTTACCAACACATAAAAGGATTCTGGTCAGAATGCTTTAAGTCAGGGGTTTCTAAATGGGAGTACTTTAAAACACGCATGACTGCGAACTTGGCCATAGTGGTTTCAATCCCACCGTTTAGTGGCTCTTAACCCTGGGGTGCATTTGAAAATCATATGTCTAGTGTTCAGTTGAGGTTCCTTAAATCAGGAACTGAGAAACTATCTCTTTAACATTGTTTGCCACGAAAGATGTTCTTTAACACTGGTCAGTTACTTTGTATGCAAACCAATGTAAATTTAAAAAACAAATAAGATTGGTGTAAAAAAAAAATAAGTGAAATAATACACATGAAATATGCACACCCACACAGAGTAGTCAGGGTTGAGATTCAGATTTAAATAATGAGATCTTTTGACCAATGAGGATTCTATTTAATTAACAGGTAAATAAATAAATGACCCAGAGCTACTGAGTTGTTTCCAATGCATAGTGACCCTTCTGGGGTTGCCAAGTCTGTAAATCTTTAATGAAGTAGGTTGTCACATTTTTCTCTCACTGAGCGGCCGGTGGACTTGAAATGCTGACCTCAGTTAGAAGCCAGTTATTTAAGCACTGTTCCACCAGGACGCAAGTGGTATGCCCTACATATACACAACCTCATTCCTAGCACCACAAAAACCAACTCCAATCCACAGGAACTCGAATATTTGACATTAAAACAAATGGGAAGCATTATGGGGTAGAACATGGGACTTGAACTAATGGTCTTGAACTGCTGACCTTTTGGTTCTCAGCTCAATCATATTCTGCACTGTGCCACCATGACTCCTTCACAGGTAAACAGAAAGATTTAAAAAAAAAATAGACTAATGGAAAATACAGTATCACAGTAAAAATAGTCCACTCTTGACTATTCAGGAAGGACTTACTTAGGTAGTTATAGATTAATCATGGTTAAAGCCAAGCTGGCACCAGAGGTGGGTTTACCTCTTGCCACCCCATCTCTGGTGCCCACAGTGGCTTTCCACGAACACAGGCTTCCAGGAAGGGGGGAACTCCGTAAGCTAATCATCCCGGGCCTCAACTGTACTTTAACTGTAGTCAGTGTGCAAACTGATTAATCAGCACCAGGATAGGCAAAGGGCAATTGTGCTGTTTTGATGGTGAGGTCTACTCTTACTGGAAAAAAAAATGCATAAATAAACCTATCAGAACCAGAAAGTTAACTTTAAAGAGCTGAGCAAATACTCATTTTCCACCCTTATTTGTTAAAACAACTCTGAGGACTGATAGCATAGCGTAAAATCTAACAGTAAGGAATTCTATGGAAGCCTTTATTCCATTTTCAAGCTTAAAAAAGATTATTTTGGAGAAAGACTGTTTTGAAAATCATAGGTAAAATAGACATAAATATTAAGATTTTTCATCACTGAACTATAATAAAGGTTATTGTTGTTGATTGCCTTCGAGTTGAGCACAACTCATAGTGACCCTAAGAACCAAAGGCCTAAAGCCCCTCTACAACTATTGACATTTATCAAAGTTCATAGGTTCTGGAGGCATGTTGTTTTGGAAGTAGATGCCACATTATAGAATTAAGCAAATGTTTTATCTCCAAGCACTTATGGAAGAGTTTTATATAAAGTGTTTAGAAGTTTTGGGAGGTGTTTTTAGGGAAAAAAGAACAAAAGGAATTCCTATGAACATAAATATTATCAAAATATCTACTAACATTTCAGCTGAGAACATGAAGAGAGTAGGAGTACTAGAGTACAGGGTAACAACCCCAGTTGACCAAGTTCTTCAGTAAATGTCAACAAGTAGCTGAGCTATACCTCCCACCCAAAGGCTGAGCTTCAACACTCACGAGATACGCTAAATTCATGGCATACAACTATACCTGTAATAATTTTACGAAAGGTTTTTGAATGTGCAAATATTGAATAACCACTTCATTAATCTCTGGAAGACATGCTTGCTAAGAACGTCCTGAGAATATAATACATGAATTGTAAGACAGAAGATAATAATACATTTACTTATTGTAGTACAATGCACATCTGCATGTCTGGAAACTAGTAACTCCAGACACGTGGGAGTCTCAAGGGCTGGACTGCTTAATTTCTAATTTGGCTCTGATAACTAACTACCATTTATTTGCCTTGACTATGCAGTGAATCAGTCCAGCATAGTTTCATAATTTACTTCCATTCGGCAAATATTATAAGTCATCTTTAAAATGAAAATTTTGTTCCAAATAATTTAATCTGCAATCAAATCACTAATGTAAATATTTAAAACCAAGTATTGCCTATATCTAGAAAATTAACTATCCTTTCTTTCTTTGTAACTGCTGGTGGATTCCAGCCTCCAGAAACACTACCTTTGGGTTATCAGCACAATTCTCTAAGAACTACACCAATAGAGCTCCTCTAGATTCGATTTGTCACTGTTGTGGACTGTTGAGTGAGAACCAACCCATAGCTGACCCTCCAGTGGGTTTTCAGAGGCATTTATTTAAACACACAGGAAGAGAATGCCCATCCTTCTCCCAAGAAGCAACTGGTGGATTCTAACTGCATGCCTTATGGATTGGAGTGCAAATATATTCAGCCCGGTAGGTAGGGAATTGAATCACTAATTCAAAGGCAGAAGGTTAAAATTAACCAGGGATTCCTTGGGAGAAAGATGGACAATCTCTTCTCATGTTATCAAGAGTCTCAAAAACCCACTGGAGGGTCAGTTATGTGTCAGTTTTGATTCAGTGACAGTGAAGTTTTTTTCGTTTATCTTGAGAAGTGTCATCAATTTGAAGGTAAAGGATCAAATACATGACCAAGCAAATGTTTCATCTCAACAACCCATCACAGTGGAGTAAGAACCGACTCATAGCTGACCCTCTAGCTTTTTCTAGGTTTTCAGAGGCTATTAATCACATACAAGGAAACAGTCACTTGCTAAAAACAATTCTAGCATATTCTAGCATGCATATATTGTTTTCTTAGCACAATATTTGCACAAATAGCATCAGCAACTTGAGCTACCATTCATTATCTCTTCTTGGGGGAAAAAACCAAAAACACCAAACAAACCTATAATAGATCTGATCTTTTGAGAATAAAAGGATCTAGGCTTTTCCTATGATTTTTAAGTCTTTTCTGACATTTTAGGGACTCACCTGTGAAGGGTCTGCTATGGTATAATACATCTACTTTTTGAGTGAACCAAAAGATTTGCCAAGGCAAAACCAAACATTTTTCACAACAATTAAAAAAATGATAAAGTATGCCTACCTGTTCTTTGGATGGTACAAGGAGTTCTTCAATCATCATGCTGTCCCGAGCATAGGAGCTTCTGTTCAAAGTGTAAGACCTATCCGAACTGAAGGAGCGGAGGCTGTTGTATTTACAGTTAACCATTCAACAGTGGTAGATGATGATGAGATGAATAAAAGAAAATTAATGCATGCAATCTGAAGAACAGGCAAAGATGGCTAAAAATATCAACAAAGGTTGTTCTGGAAAAGACTTTGTCAAAACCAAAATCTCTTGTATTTGAGGAAATCTCTTGAGTTTAGATAACCTCATAACCAGGTATCATTGTATGTTTGGTTTTTTCATCAGGCCAATTGGTGTTAAATCTGTTGACAAGATGAAATGCATGAAACACTGTGGATGTTCCACTATGATAACCGAACCAGCATGACAATTGAGAAGAACCAGATGACTCCAGATAATTTAACCGAGATTTTCCTAAGCTAAGACCTTGTGTAAGATTTTCTCTGATCCATACATGCCAGGTTTGCACTATTGAGGGGAATTCCATCTGCTTTAAATGGGACTGTTTATAAGTCTTTGAGAAACAGATCTACCTTTAACACATCTGTTTATAAGGTTTCTAGATACTACTCATTGAAAACATTAAGAAATAAGTAGGGTCAATATGAGCTTCTTTATTATCTTCCTGGCCTCGAGGAAAAAGTCAATTTCCAAGTCTGAGGATTATCTCATCTTTCCTGCCGGAAAGATGATTTGCTCTATCCTTTTTATCTCTAACTTCTACTGTCCTCCTTCCTAGTATCTCTCAAGCCCTCCAGACATTCTATAAACTGCCTACAGGGTGTGTCTCCCTGCCTTCGGAAGCACCACTCACCACATTGACCTCTCAACAAAATGCCAGTGACTTAAGGGAACAGCTCTGCTCTGACAGTTTGGTCAGCCAGCGCATTTCTACCCACACAGGCCATGCAGCCAAAGAGTTGAGTCTCAGGCAGTCTGTTTCTCAAGCAGGATGTCTTGTGAACCTTCAGGAATACAGGGAACAAGAGACTTGGGAGGACCTGCTAGGAGGCCATCTCCCTTTTGCCTACCTATCTCACCTGGGTGACTGTTCTGTCTCTCATGGCCTCTTGGTTCTAAAAAGTCTAAGTTTTTGTGCCTTGACCTTGGAATAGTGCTAAACCACTCAGCGGCAATCTACAGTAGGATCCACAAAGGGGTAACCCACTATTAGTATCTTCATCTGCTCTATTTGTTTTGTAGTCGTCCTCTTTGATGTGTGGGACAAGGACCACAAGGACCACAGCTGCATTAGGCAAGCTTCGTTTCACTGTCTGTATTAGTGAAAAGTTGTCTGTATCTAAAAATGGCTCTTTGTTATCTTTACTGGTTGAATCAGCAGACATTGGCCTCTCCTTGTGTATGCTTCACAGGGAAAAGAGCGAACAATGAGTAAATAGAGATGATCTGCTTTGCACAAAATTATTTCTTTCCCCCACTCTGTACAGGTGTACCTCAATGAGACTGGAGGCTTGTTTCTGGGCTAATACAATAAAGTGAAGAGTGTTATAAAGTGGATCATGTGGATTTTTTTGGCTTCCAGTGCCCAGTTTAGGTTTATGCTACTCTGCGACCTTAGATGTGCACTGACATTATGAAAATGTATGAAATACTGTGAAGACAAACGTGGCACAGAGACATGAGGCGAGCACAGGCTGTTGGGAAAATGGTGCTGGCAGCCTTGTTCAAAGCCAGGTAGGTTGCTACGCACTTGCCCTTGATTAAAAAAAAAAGAAGAAGAAGTAAAAAATGGTGGTATCTGCTAAGCACAAAAAAGTGCAAGATATCGCAGCAAAGGATACAAGGTTACTCTCCAAAACCATAAACTCATTGCCATCGAGTCGGAACTGACTCATAGCTGAGTCTCTAAGTGGGTTTTAGAAGGCTATAAACCATACAGGAAAAGACTGCCCATCTTTCTCCCGAGGGGCAGCTGGTGAATCCAAACCTTCGGTTTGGAAGCACAACTCCTTACCCACATAAAGTGGATATACTCTTTTATCAAGTTGCAGAGACCCTTGATATTATAGATGTTACTTAAGTCTCTATGCAAATGAGGAGACATATTCTTAGAAGAGAAGACTTGAGAGTTAGCTTTCATCTGAATCGCAAAGAAATCTCTGATCCAAAGAAAGGATAATAACCAATATTATGCAGAGTCATTACAAAAAGTCTTCAGCAAATCCTTCTGGAGCAGCCATTATTATCCAGAAACAATACCAGAAACTTGCAATTTAGATGTAAAAGTGGTAAACATTATCTCTGTGGGTAAGAACAAACCTAAGTCAGTCTTGTGGCTCTGACCACCACACACTTGGACCTTCTGTATCACGTCACTCAATAACTTTTACTCTCCTGTCTTCCAATTCAGTTGCAAATGTATCTGTTACTTATGCTTCTGGCCCATTACCTTCTTCCCAACAGACTGTAAGCTTCCCAAGAACAGGACTTGTCTCTCTCTGCTCTCCAACTTAACACTGCCCAATACAACGTTCTACATTTACGGAAATGCTCTGGATTTGTGCTACCCAATAGAGAGGTCACTGGCTCACAGGGATGCTGAGTACTTGAAATGTGGCAAGTGCAATTGAAAAAGTAAATTTTCATTTTATTGAATTAATTTAATGGCTATCATGTGACACTTCACCTTCTAACTACTCATATCAAGGCTCCATTTTCCACAGGATGTGAGATGAGAAAGCTTAGACTTTCTGTACACTACCGTTCCCAGAGCCAAATGTAGAAATAAGTTGATTTGTGAGGTAGGATTATGGTAGATATGGACAAACATTTACATTTTAAAAACTACATATAAATTTTACTTTCTACTTGTAAATACATCAGAAGATCACAAGGGTATGAATTTCAACAACTCATGGGGATGGTGCAGGACTGGCTGCGTTCTGTCCCTTTGTGTAGAGGTTACCATGCATCTGGTAACCAACTTGAAGGCAGAAACAATGATTTATTGATACTATTTGAACACCTTTTCCTTCTTTTAACTACCTACACAAACTCCCTACACATGCTACAAAACAACTGCAGAGCCCAGAATGGAGAGCTTTGAAGGGAAGAGCCTGGAGATGTCTTAATTTTATTTTAGGTCTAAAATTTTATTCCTGATGGACCCAGTCTAACACATATTGGACAGATGGAGCCCAGAAGTAAGGTCATCAAACTTCATTTTAAATCCCTGATTTATCAAAGTATTTTTCAGCTACTCCTAAATTTGAGGATTTATTACATGGGTAAAGAAAACATTCAAATATTTTAAACTACTATTAACTATATTATTTGTAGCCATCCATATATGCTAAGTGTTAAACTCGGGAAGTATTAGGAAGAAATGCATGCCTCAGAATTCTAGAATCATCTCAATATACCTAGCCCAACTCAAATAAAACAGCCACCAGCAAATAAGCAGCCTTGTAAACAAGACTTTTCTTTAGACTCAGTGAACTGTCTCAGTTATTTCATGCATTCTACAAAATTTGTGAAAGCAAAGACATTCCTCAAGTATTCAATTCTTCCTAAGTAACATTTCTTATCATAGATGGTGTTACTTGCTAATTTTCTAAGAAGCACAAAACTGATTTGCTAAAGCTGAGCAGGGGTCAAAAAAGAAAATAAAAAGCACATCAGGGCACCTCACAGCACACCACATCACAATGCTGAATAAAAGAAAAATGGACAATGAGCCAGGGAGGGAGAAACACTGCACAAGTGCCATATCTTCTTACCTGACCTTGGGACTATGTTACAGTATTTTTTTAGAAAGAAAGAAAGAAGAGAGATAGAAAGCAAAACAATCAGACAGAGAAAAAAAGAAAAAGAAAAGTTATGATTGAATGAATAATACATTTAATGTATCCCTTTATAATGTTACACTCAGAGTATTTTGTTAACGTTCTCAAAATGTGCTTTTAAAAACACATATTTTATAGATTTAAACTTTTTTTTCTGAGCATAACATGAGCTGCCAATGTAAAAAAATAAACGAATTACACATAAGCAACAAATAATAATGATGCAATCAAAATTACAAGTGTGAATGGCTTAGATTATTTTAAGGAAAAAGGTTAACCATAGAGCCATTCTAGCTCCCTATCTCACTCAATGTCAATGCCTACATTTTTCTGTTCACACACAATTAATTTGAAATATTGTGTCTTGTATGCAGGCAGAGCCTGGGTTCCAAATGAGATCTGTTCCTCTCTTTAAAAATTTGTAGGTAAGTAGGAACAGGCACACATGGGGTTCTTATTTAGTCTTAACTTTAATGCAAGAAGATATTCTGCAGCTTAGTGGGTTAAGTGTTTGATAGTTAACTGAAAAGTCTGTGGTTTGAATCCACTAGCCACTCCTCTTGAAAAAAAAATTAGGGTGGTGTGCTCCCCTTAATATTTAGTCACAGAAGCCTCTGGGGCCATCTCTATGCTGTCCTACTGGGTTTCGAGGACTTAGAAGCGACAGCAATGTGTTCTTTTGATAGTGTTGTGGTGGTTGTTGTTGTCTAACACAGAATTGGAACCAACCCATAACTGACCCTCTGGTGGGTTTTCAGAGGCAGTTAATCACATGAAAGGAGTATACCCATCCTTCCCCTGTGGAGGAGCTGGTGGCCTCAAACCAGGGGCCTTTAGGATTGCAGCACAGCTTCTTAACACTAGGTCACCAGAGCGCGCTTGGTTTTGATTAGTGGGAAGAAAAAATAAAGAACTCTGGTGGCTTATGGTTTATGGATCTGGCTGCTGTATTTTGGCCAATAGTTTGAACACACCAGCCACTCAGCAGGAGAAACAGAGATAGTTTGTTTCCCAAAATAATTACAGATTTAGTTCTACTCTATCCTATTGGGTAGCTAGGTGTCAATCAACTCATGGCTCAAGTGCAGCTCAATCAACTCAAGTGCAGTGGATTCTGTAGCATAATAAAGGGCTTGTAGCCTTCTCAATATTTTGAAAGCTGATGTGTGCCTTCAGAAGGTGACTGAGATGATGACTAGTTCGTTGTGAGTAGAGGGGTGGGTTCATCTGAGCATTAAAGGGCAAGTAGGATTTGTCCACAAACCAGACAAGGACTGCCTATAAAATCTTAGGAAGAGAAGGGAGCTCATTTTAGATTCTAAAAGGCGTTACAATCCTAAGTAGAATTTTCCCTAGAAACCTTTTAAGATCTGGTAGGTTTTTAGCTGTCACTTATTGCCACTTGAAATATTACTCATTTAAAATACCGTATCTTTCTCTTGATAAGATGTTATGCTTTTTCTAGGTTCGAAATTCTATCCACCAAAAAACTTAACTCTAAGAAAAATCAGTTTGATATTTAAACTGTCCACACCAAATGGCACCAAGAACAAACTCCCAAGTTGACTTTGTGGGAAGTGCCATTTACTATTAGACAATGAAACTTTTTACAACAGATCCTTAAACTAGAGGAAAATGTCCCCAGGGCTCTGGCTTGGATGGTTTAATTATTAGCTTTAAAATAACTTGACTGTCAGCAAACAAGCTGTTAATTCACAACAGGGAAAGGTCCTCTTTCCCTGAAAGAGGGATAAGGTCCTCTTTCTTTTAACCAGTGTGAGAGAAACATGAGGCAAGGTTTTCTATCTACAAGAATGTTATGCTCTAGTTTTAAAGGCTGAATTCACCATTATTCCTATCTGTGACTATTGTAAGGAACTTTTTAAGACTCCTATTGTGGTCCCTTATAAACCAAACAACTGACCAGTTTTAGAAGAGATACCCAAATGGTTAGTAGTCCATTTAGATAAACAGTACAACATTTTATTCAGGCCATAAGAACGTTTTCCAAGAATGTGCTCCTTTAAGTCTCCATCATGAACTATCCTCTCAGTAAAAAAGAGGATAGTGAGTAATCAATGCACATATTTTTCTTATTTATTTGCAAATAAGGTTTTCTTCCCATTTAGAGCAAAATTTCTTTTCAAAACTTCTGTCCCTGATTGGTTCTTCTAGTTTTGTCATTGGAGCTCTTTTGTCACTATGCATGAAACATGACTGCATCGTAAAAAGAAAGAACAAATGATTCATATCTTCAATCCAGGGCTTTGCATTATTCCAGTTTGAGCCTCTGCTGAGAATTTTCTTTTTCACCCCATGGAATGGATTCACAGTGACCCTTTGGGACAGAGTAGAACTGCTCTGTAAAGTTTCAAAGGCAGTAAATCTTTATGGAAGTGGACCTCTTTGTCCCAAATATCTATGCATCCCTAAGAATCACTTAGGGATTCTTATTAAATCACTTAGGGATTCTTATTAAAATGTAGAGTCCAGTTCAGTGTATGTGGGGTGGAAATGTAAACTCTCAGTAGGAAGTCGAACCAGAACCAACTGGTTTGAAGCCCTTCTTCAACCACGTAAAATTAAAGACTGAAAATCATGGAAGAACACAGCATGGTATGTACATCAGATTTGAAGACATTTCACCAAATCCACATCTTTATCCAAAGAGCACACTTTAGAACTATATGCAACATAACAAAGATTTCAGCTTATGGTATGTCATGGTTGTTGCAAATCAATTATGAGAACCAGTAATAATAACATAATGTACCTGGCAGACCGGGCTCCAAGACTGAAGCCCATGTAGCCCTCCGCAGGCAGGGAGTCATCACCCAGCTCCTTAAGGTCCTGAGGCCCCAGATACTTGTCCGTGTCCCCTGTCATTGCATCTTCACCTGCAGATGTACAAAAGCAAAGCCATATCAGACGCTTCCCTTTTGAATGTCAGCTGTGGAGAAAATTGCTCCTCTGGTTACCAGCAAAGCACTTATATATCATATCCACCTTCACCTAGTTCCACATCATTTTCATAACTGATGTTCAGAAGGAAAACATTTAAGCAGAGATTAGTACACAATTTCAAGCAGGAATTTAAGTCCTGTCAATAGCTCCTGCGCTCATTACCAACTTGAAGGCATGTTTCTCCCAAGCCCCAGCTGAGGAGAAAAGTAGATTTTTGCTGTCAGCTCAACCCTGGCCACAATGAAGGCAGAGTGTTTGAATGGACATAGATTGTGAACTAAGAGCCACTTCTTACTGTGCCTGATATTATATATGCGGGAGCAGAAAAGACAAGGAAACATTTATTTATTTTTTTAAAAGAAAAGTTTCCTCAAGAGTTCAATTAGGCCTTATACAATAAAAGCAGCAAATTATCTTATCTGAGGTAACTGTCCCATTTGGGACCTGAGAACAATTCCAAACTGTTGCTAAACCCATCAAATCAACAAGCGTAGCTCAGGTTGTGCTTGCCTGAAATCTCCTTGGAAAGCAATTCTGAGTTCCAGAGATAAAACTGGGGCTTTGGCTGTTTAAATGCAGGGCAATAGAAACTGCTTTTAACTACCAATACAAAGAGTTAATGACATAAGTAACTTTTACGAGCTAGAAGCATAAACGTGACCTCATATGGAAAAACCACATTCCAGGAGTGACAGAGCAGGTTTTTCAATTCCCTTTTGCCCTCTGGATATTTCCCCGGCTTCTAAAAACATAGCACAGGCTATGGAAACCTTGCTCTTGTCCAGGGAAACTTATCTCCTTTTTTTTAGGCTCTCCCTTTCTCTCTGGACACAACCTTGGCTGCACGGGAGAAAGAGATTTCAAAAGTGTGTCTGCTGTCTTTTCCCAAAGGTTAAGTGATTCACTGACTCCCAGCTGTATTTTCCAATTCCTTCCTTCAGTACCGTTTGCAATTTCCATTCATGTAAACTCAGGAAACCACAAAAGCTCAGCGTTTAAACTACCAATCAAGTCTAAAAATATGCTGTCAACTACTGTTTTTGCAAATATAAAACCTAAACAGATCAACCCTCGACTGCCACCCCTTACACCAAGTGCTTATTTTAAGTAACCGGTTTACAGCAGGGCTATTCACAAGTTCACTACAACTGAAACACATACTGGTGCACACCAAGTTCGAGTTAAAGAAAGCTCTTACTCTGTGATAAAGCCATAATCCGCCAGGCTGGGCTGATCAAATGCTTCCCTCAAGTTTCCAGGAATTCCTTAAACACTGATTTCCAACCAATCTCCAAACCAGCCCAAGCAAACCAGTTTCCCGGACTGCAGCCACCGTCCTCAGCGCCACCTCCAAGCTCTCAGCATCTTGATCTCCTTGCAGGCAATTAAGGAATCATATATCTTTTTCCCATTCATCAGAGTTTGAAGATTTTCAAAATTTCAAACAAAAAAAGAGTAAAAAAAAAATAAAAAATAGAGGGTGTGTGTGTGGACAAAACCTGGCAACACTTATTTGAGCTTAAGATCCTTTTTGATCACTCCGCAGACATCCTTTTAAAGCTCCTTCTGATTGGATCAGAAACTCCTCTGGCAAGCCTCTAGCAGGACCGAATGGTGACATAAATGTAGCCCTCGAGTTATTTGTATGTAAATATGAGGACTGCAGCGGTGTAGACTTTCTGTAATTTGATACCGGCGCTTAGTTCCTCACTGGGTAACCGAGACTCAGCCTTAAATCTGAGGAGAAGGAGCTAGCGAGGAGGCGCTGCATTTAATCAGGAGGAGACGCTTCTAAAATATGAATGAAGAAACGGCCAACCCAGGTGCAAGAAAAAAACTGGATGAAGAAGGGGGAGGAAGAGAGAAAAAAGGCCCAGGCAGAGTGTGGCAGGGAGCCTTGAGGCCAACTTTCAACTTTGTTCTCAGTTGCGGAACTCCGGGAGCCTCAGTTATTTATGGTCCCTGTCAGGTGGAAAGAGGAGAGAGAGAGAGACAGAGAAAGAGAGGGAGGGAGAGAGAGGAAGGGAGGGAGGAGACAGAACGCAAGCGCCAGGCTGCCCTTGAGCTGGGGTTATTAAACTAGGGGGCACGAGGAAGCAGAAGTGGTTCCCAAAACTCTCCCAGACATGCTCCAGGGTGCACTAGTCATCATTGCTTTTTATCAACAGCTAGAAGAGAGGTGCTGAAGGAAAAGGCAATGACTTCAGTCCTTGCAATCCAGTCTTATGAAATGAGTTTTCCCCCCCTTGCGTACTTCCTAGAGGGGCAGGCTGACAGTCTTGGGCTGGGCTGGGGAGTTAGCCCTTGGGCTGCAGTGAGCTGGGGAGGCAGCGCAGAAGTGGTGTGCCTGTCACTTTGCTGTTCCATTGTTTCTTTCCCTCGCAGGCTCACTGGCCTCCCCAGCTTCTATGCTGCTCCGCCCTGTTTATGTTGGCACGGCAGGAAAAGCTAGCAGGACTTCTGCGTTCTCCATCTGAGGACACTGGCGAGGCGATTTCAATTGCTGCGATAGCTGGAGAAAGAGACTAGAAAGTAGGTAACAGCGTTCAGGCACTGTTCTGAATGAAGGGGTGGCACAGCACTTCCACGTAAAGGTGCGTCCACCCCCTTGGAATGTTACCCAGATACAGAAATTTGAAACTGCGGAGCTGGAGCAAGTGAAGTGGAGAATACATTTCTTTTTTCCCCTGGATTAATGAATAAATAAGTAGACGAACCTCAATAAATATTAAGATTACATAATCCCTGGTGATTAGTCTGCTGGTACTCAACATTTAAATACAGGCACAGAAGGGAAGTCATTTATTATGCCTGGTACACAATGACTAAACATTCCCAAGCAAAAAAAAAAAAGGATTTCTAGCCTCTCTAAAGAAGGGAAGGGGACTCAGGGTAATAGAGTAGAAAATAGTGGAAGGTTCATTTGTTTTACTATCTCTAATTAAAATCCAAGCTGCTCAGCAGAGCTTTGCTCAAGGCCTGTCCTCCCAAGGTGTACAGTGACACACTGCTTCTCCTTGTCTCTTCGGCCAGCCTCAGCTAGTGTCCCTCCTTCATATCTACTTTTGCCTCCTGTCAAACAGAACTTTTACATAAGAAGAACTTTCTTCATGGTGCTATTCCCTCTTTACATCTGAGTAATTTTTTTAACTATTTCTAGAACCCCTCCTATATTTCTTAGCCTATTCTGAGATGTCCCTTGCTTGGGCTTCTCTTATCAGAACATATTGCCAGTAAAAACATCTGTTTATTTGCTCCCTCTAGATGGTGAGATCTTTTACACACACTTTTTCTGGGCCTGGCATGTTAGGAAAAACAGACAAAAAGCTACCCTCATCCACTCATAGCAGACCTCCACTGGGTTTCCAATGCTCTAAGTCTTTATGAGAGAAGCCTGCCAATCTTTCTCCCTAAGAATGGCTGGAGGTTCGAACTGCTGTTAGCAGCCTGACATGGACCACTTTAAGATGTAAGAAATGCTCCATAAATATTTTTTGAACTAATAAAACGAGAATATTTTTGAACTGATAATGGTTTACATTAAAGACAGCTTTTTTTAAAAAAACTTGCCACAGAACATTAGCATTATATTAAAATTAAGCTTGATGACCAGAGTAAAGTACATTTTCAATGAAAGTACATTTCCATTCTTCCTTAGCTAACCTTCTTAAGGCCACTATGAGACCAAAAAAGAAGGATTTACAGTAGATGGGAGAGCTGTCAACATATGTCAACAATTAAAACCACCTCATTACATTAATTATACATTTATCATAACTGACCCTCCAGTGAGTTTTCTGAGGCTGTAAATCACATAAGAAGAGACTGGTCATCTTTCTTCCACAGATCGGCTGGTGGATTCAAACTATTTCCTTTTGGGTTGGAAGCACAGCTTCTTACCACTATGCCACCAGAGCTCCCTACGTATCATTTTAAAACAGTGCAAACATTTTTTTAAAGTACAGGATTTAGAAGGACAATGATATAAAAATGCAGTATATCCTGTGCTCTGGGTTCAAATCCAGAATTCATCAATTTCATTCAACTGCTCTGCGTCACACAGTCAATGTTTACAAGACTGGACTTTTTTTTAATCTCTGCTTTTATCTTAAAACTTATTGGAGGTCTTAAATTAAGATGATGCCCTCAGTAGAAGTTCGTGCAGAACTGTCACCATTGTTTTGTACCTTTGTGCTTTGCCTTACTCTCCGACTACCACTTACTGATGAACACAAAATGTAACCACGACGGCAAATTATCCCGAGAGAGTCTGTCCTCTATTGCCTACCACGGGACCTGGCTCATCACAAAATATCTGTTAGGTGAATGAATGAGCAAATGAATGCAAAAAACTAAAAGTGGGGACAGAAGTCATTCTTCTTTTGAAACCAAAACATTCAGTAACTGTTGAATAGTAAACACCTAAAGAACAGAAAGGAATGATATAAATTTTGCAAGTGGTCCTTAACCACTTCTGAAGGAAGTTTTAAATTCTTTTGATCAGTGATAGCTGTTAACCAATGAGATGAGTATGTATAAGCCAATCAAAGTATTTCTAATAATTAACAATACTCACATAATATCATGCATGTGAAAAGAATATATTACCAAGAGCTTCACTTTTTCAATGAATAAAAAGTATTTGTTTGGGCTTGTTGTTCTTGTTGTTAGGTGCATCGAGTCGTAGACGACTCATAGCGACCCTATGAAGGAAAGGCCTGAGCACTGTTCGTACATAGAGTTTTCGGAGGCAAGCCATTTTGGAAGTGGATGCTGCTCCTGCTTTCAGGTTTGTTTTAGTCGGGAAGCTCCAGACAACACTGTCCACCATGGGTAACCATTAACACGTTTGGCACATCAGTGTCTGTTTGGGCTTAGATTTTCTAAAAGAATAAGGAGTGGTATTATAGATAAATTTCAGTATTTTTTGACA